GATGGCGAGAAAGAAATGGCCTAGGACAGGTAGTTTGGGTTTGATTTGTATTCTATCAGGGAATCTCTAGCCATTTTTATGTGTGCTTTAGTTTAGTCTGGATTGATTTGTTTCAGTAAAAACTAGTTGAACTGGTCAATTGTCTTCCCAATTGCTCAATTCGGTCAGTCTTTGCTAATGGGGTTGCAAACACGGTCCATCTACGTCAGGGTCTTCAATTGAGTTAATTTCCAGTTCCCGTAGCTGTAGAAAATCAGAGGATTTCTATTCAATTCTCCCTGGAAGTTAATTTTTTTCCTGACTGTCAATTCCAGCTTCTGCCTACACTGGACAATAGGGGCTATAAGGGGGTGTTAGTAAGTGTGGTAGAGGCTCTTTTTCAAAGTATTTTTCACTTGTAATACATCAAAATAATGTTTTTTTTTAATGTAGCATTGCGTGTTATCATGTAGCTGTTGCTACTGGGGTAATTCAAGATTTTTCTGGAGTTTCCTGATGATACATTCCCTGAAACCTTGCCTGTTGCAAACTTTATGAAGATTTTGAAATGCTGTTTGCATGGCAAGAGTGATTTGGGGATTATTACTCACTGTCGGTATTTTATGCTGTTTAGGATGCTCCGGGACCATTGATGAGGTCTTCAAGTTTGTTTTTTGTAAAATAGAGTCCATATAGGCTATACTTCTTTCAGGATGAGGAAGCCATTCACTGGGGAAAAATAAAGTTAAAGAGAACCTCATTCCTACATTTGAATTTATCTGTATGCGAGGGTAGAGTCAAACTGATGACCGCTGGGTTGGTGGCCAAAACTGGACTCAAAAGGACCGATGCACTTGGCTATTTGTAAATTCACACTCGCCGGTTTGACATGAAAAATAAAAAATTATGCATCTGCCAAGCCTGGTGGGTCTACTCTAACTGATGAAGATGATTTGTAAACCAGCTTCGGATGATTTGCATGCCTCCAGCATTATCTTCAAGCTCTAAAGTCTCCGACACGAGTATAATGTTTATACAGAGTCCGGAGGGGGAACAAACAAAACAGTGTCGTTGCCCATCTCTACTCCGTCGTTGGCAAAAGCATCAGCAGATACATTAGTCTCTCGACGCACGACCCTGATGCCCACCATCCACATTTCTTTACAAATTTGTTCAAGAATACCTTCATGAGGGGACCCTCTTGCCAACAAATCACAGGTAACACGATGCTTGACTATAACAAAATCAACTTCAAGAACTACCACCCTTCTCTTTTCCACGCTAGTTCAAGGCCAAGCTTGCAAAAGCCCTTTCTCGATACACATTCTTTTACTTGAGGTTAGCAGTTTTTATTCACGAGGAGAGTGCGAGCTGCATATACAGAAAATCAGAACGAAAAGGAAATAAACTCGTCCATAAGGCCATTAACTGAAGGGGAACCGCATCTAGTGGTCTTCGTAAGGGAGCAAGGGACCCCGTGCTTATTAATTTTGAATGTTAAAGCAAACTCCTTAAACCATGAACATTCTCAGCACCGCGTGATAAGTACTTGGTTAAAGAACAATATGGATTAAGTGCGTAAAAAATCCACTTGGACAGAAAGTCAAGAATGGAGTTTCTCGGCCATTCTGGATTCAGGTACAAAATATAAGCAAGGTCGGTAAAATCTCTTTTATTACACATCACTTGTTTTTGCTAGTGACCAAATCAATGGTCAACATTTGATATATAATATTGGCAGGGAATGCAGCCCCTCACTTGATCCGACGGCAGAGAGTGATACCATCACCAACAGGAAGCATGCAAATTTCAATCCTGGGGTCAGCTGCAAGTGCCTTGTTGAGCTCCAGAACAAAGTCCCTATAGTACCTCACATACTTCCTCATCGGTGCATCCGCTGGGGCCACCACAGATCCATTCCACAGGGTGTTGTCATACCCAATCAACCCTCCGACTTTGACAAGCTCAATCAACCTCTTGTGGTAGTTAATATAATTGTCCTTGTCAGCATCCACAAAGATGAAGTCGTAAGTTCCATGGTACTTTCCCTGTAGTTCGCCACACAGAATCATCAGCTTAGTAATAGCACATCAATTTTCTTAAATGAACATCATCTCTTCTCATACGAGGAAACAAAAAAAAAACAAAAAATTGTCCAAGATAGAATATTTCTTACATCTTCAATCATTTGATCGAGAACTGGCAGAGCAGGGCCTTCCTTGAACTCAATCTTGTGTGCCACACCAGCTTTCTGAATCACCGGGAGACCCAGTTCATAGTTTTCTCTGTTGATGTCCATAGCCAAGATCTGCAAATCACAAGATCCCAATTATTTTCTTACCGTCACCTAATTTCTTTTGACTGATTTGGGACCGAGAAATCTCAGGTCTTTAGTTTTTACCTTTCCATCCTCAGGGATAGCAAGAGCAGTGGCCAAGAGAGAATAGCCAGTGTAAACACCGATCTCCATGGTGTTCTTGGCATTGATAAGCTTTAAAAGCATGTTCAAGAATTGCCCTTCATCAGCAGATGTGGTCATGATGTTCCTGTTTCCCATCATTCACATCAGATTTATTAACACCACGCCATAAACATCAATATATAGAAAACAAAACCCTTTTTTTTTATGAGAATAAAATCTCTCATGTTGATGTATTTAAAATGCATGTAAGAATTCAACAAACATACCAAGGATGCTTGGCAGTCAACTCCCTAAGCTCCTTCATGCATTCAGGCTCTCTTGGGTACACACTGGTCTCAAGAATATACTAAAAACCAATCCAAATATATACAAAAAATGTTAAAAACAAAACAAACCAAGGAAAAAAAAAAAACTCGCACCAAGATCAGGGGTTTCTCCGCTAAATTACCTGGTAAAGAGCATCACTTTGCAAAAGGCTCTTGTGGCCAACTTCTTGATGCCTTCCGGCCTGAGTCTGCTGTTCCTCTCCGTTGGTGGCCATTATTTTGTATATCTTACAACAAAACTATACTCTCTTTCCTGGCGTTGGAAGGTTTTTCTGGGGGCTGACAATGATAAGGAAGCCTGACCTGATTGAAAGTGGCAAGGGCAGGCGTTATTTATTGGAGATGAGAGTCCGGTTTGAGCCGGAGCAGTGGGGTTGTTGGACCGGCTGCCAACCGGGTGGGGGTTGGTGAGTTCTTAGGACAGCGTCAGAATTTTGGGACCCACTTATCGTTGTTTGAGTTGTGGTCCAGTGGTCATAGCCGCACTCCTTCCATCGGGCATCGCTGACGCCATTTTAGGTTTCGGACACTAATTCAATTTCTATATATTTTTTCTGTCTCTTTAATTTCCGTCCCCTTATTTTAGTTTTTTCCGAAAGAAATTAAGTTCACGGTGTTAGGTTTGGAATATTAAAATAAAAGGCTCGACATTTATGCCACGTGTAATTAATTGAATTTGTAGGGAGTAGAAAATTGTGGTGGCTCACCAATTAGCCGATGGGGATGGCTAATAGAAAGTGGGTAAGGGGTTGGTGGACCGGCCTCGAGAATTTGACTCCAACAGAGTTGGTGGCTTGTAGCCACCTCATTGACAAGGGATGGTTCCTGTGAAGAATCTCTCCGTCTTGCTGCTTTCAAAATTTATTTTCTTTGTTTTTTATCCGCGAGCTTGCTTTTTCTCAACAAAATAAAATAAAATAAATCCAATTTCGGTTTACCGTCTCTGATAGTCACAGGACAATATAAAAATGGTTGAGGTTTCGATCGCCAGTTCGTGTGTAGATCCTCTAGTAAAGTGTAATAAATATAATTAATGTTTTTTTAAAGTGTAGTAAATATTGTTTCTCTAATATTTTTTATTTAAAAATATATCAAAATAATATTTTATTAGAAATATAACCTTCTCTGATCTTGTCTGGTTTTCTCGCCCTGTTTCGGGTGGGCATGGCAAAACATTTCAATGGAAGAAGACAGAACCATCAACCCTAGCCTAACATCAAGCTTGCTGTTATTGGCTAAGAGATTACTTAAGCCATGAGTTCATGACATTTTTCCTTATCATTTACAGTCTTCAACCATGGAATCTTTCTCCATGAAGTGTCAAAAGACAGGATGGAAAATTTAAATAATTGGATAATGCATCTGCTTGAAGATATTTCTGCTTCTATATATTCTTAGAGGCTGTTTGATATTTTAATAATTATTATTTTTTAAAATATTTTTTATTTATAAATATATCAAAATAATATTTTAAACCATTACCGAACTACCTACCACCTGTTAATTAACGGGAGCTCCTTGTTGTAAACCGCATGAGATTAGGTTTGTAATAATTCGTGTTACCTGTGCAAGAAGTGTCCCCCATCAGAACCTTAAAAAAATAAAAACATGGTCAAAGTTTGGTGAGGAGAGGCTTGCTTCTTTTTGAGTTCAAGCCCTTGTTAGGGCCACCAACCACCAATTAAAGTCCAGATAATAATAAAAAAGATTTCCTTTTGTTTATGGTATCCACATCGATGGTCTTTTTCTTTAGAGAAGAAATAAAAATAGCAAAAGCTGAGAAGGGAAATGAGTTAGATGGGCTTTATGCAGTAGCCTATGAGATAAGATAATTGTATTGATGATGTCATTATTTGTGTCTTTAGGAATATGATTATAATTTTTTTTAAAATATATTAAAATACTTTTTTATCTTTAAATTTTTAACACCGATACATCAAAATAATATAAAAATATTTTAAAAAATATTAATTTAAAATATAAAAATAAACAGGTTATGAGAGCCTCCTCTCTCTGAAAGTGAACTAACTCCGGGCAAGCTAGTCTCAGACCATCAAGTCCAGCTACCACATCAATTGAGAATTGAGTTCTAGGTTCACGTGTCAGGTCAAGCTAGATTTAATAATTATGAGGGTGGGTGATCCATACATGCATGTGTTTACTTCATTACTTATATCCGATGCGAATAGCAATGGTTTAAACCTTAAAAATCTATGTTCAAGTTAAATAAATGCACGAGGGATTAGTTCATCACAAGATACGACAGGTTGCTCTTTGATTCGAAGCCTGCTACAGGCAGGTTTGGTTGCAAGAACTCAATGTTCTGCAATTTCCAATATAGTTGAAGTGATGGTATTCTTGCAGATAAGCAGAGTGATGCCGGAGCAACATGCCTTGCCGAGAGTTCATTTGTGAAACAGTGAACTGGTGCAAATTGGGAATGATTTTAAGCAGAGGCTCAGGGTCAAACTTGATCCGAACTGTGAAAAATACAGCTTCCTCTGAAGATATCCAGCACCTGATCAATTACATTGACCACCAGAGGACCCTGGAACCATTTTCAGCTAGGTTGTCCAGCGTTGGCCTAAACTGCATTCAGTTCCCAAATCTCCATCCATCCAGAGTCACCAGCTCAACATGTAACTTAAACATGTTAATAACTTGGTACTAGGACATGTTCGCCCTAGAAAACAGGTGTGAAAGACCTGTACATATGCGTCTAATGCAAAAGAAAATCATTAGATTCTTTTGGCATATACAAAATCCTGTAACTTTCGATTGATTTCTAGAGAAGTTATGATTATGGAAGACGAAGCATCATTCTATCCACAAATAGTGCTACAGTTTACTTGCGGTAATATTTCATTTATCTGATAAACCAACCTAATGATAGTTGGCTACGTGCCAGCGGCAAATGCCGACAGCAAAGACCTCCTTTTTTAGTGAAGAATTATCAGAATTTTAGACCATTTTAGCAACACTTTATCACATTGTTTTAGTTTTCCAGGGGCACGTCGAGCAAAATGATGGGCAAAGGTAAACTAAACAAAAACAAACATAAATTGGAATCAAGAAATTTTAAAGTGGAAGATATCAGGGGGATGATATATTTTCAGCCGTGAGAGAAAAGCTCACTTTGCTTGTATCATCAACGATATTTATCTGATGCTTCGAGGCTTTGAGATTTCAGTGAAGCCTAAGGAACAACGCTGCAGTTGAGCTATCTTCAAAGAGCATGGAAGGAAAACTGTGAGGAACAGCCTGAAGCAAGAAGAGAGAGGGTGGATTTCTCAAGGATTGTAGGGTCAATCACACTGTGTGCTCATGCCAGTTAAATGAGTAACAGTGCTGAAGCAGTCTTCTTTGATAGTTTCTATCCTCCGAGTCTGGTGGGTGGAAGGACTATTATTTTACCTTCAATAGGTAGTGAGATTACTAACACAGAGATCCCAAGGGATATGGTTACTTCAGAACTGCTTCAATAAATGGTAATAAACTGAAAACTAAAAGAAAATGCCCCCAACCAGTCTGTCCTAAACAAAAGTGGCCTGCAAGGATTGAGATTAGTAGCTATTAATGTCCCTATCCATCTCATACGACTTTTAACATGACTTAAATCCCTACAAACCATCAAGAATTCAGTCATCTGATAGTTAAAACTTAGATATGTAGTTAATACAAGACGCATGAAGAAGTTGAGCAAGAAAACCCAGAATATGATCACTTTGAGTATTAAATGTTCATCGATAAACAGGTCCACATAAAGGAATCATGGGTGAAGCTAGTTAAATTAAGCTTATCTGGTGTTTTTCTTTTAAAATATCATAAACAATTCTCCATTGTATAAATATTCAAATATAACTCTTCCCTTGTCACAAGAAACCTATATATATATATATATATTTATATATATAAGTTGAAGAACTCTTTGCAAATTTAAAGAATGAGTTTTTAACGAGGATGTTTCAGAAGACAACATCTCCATTGTCAGGAAGAAAAAGAAAAACATATGATAGTTTTAGATAAATGCAAAAGATGCTGAATTCTGCACATCTTAAAAAATCAATTGATCAACGAAAGAAAACAAATCCGAGCCAGAAGGTTAAATTTGTCAGCGATGCATCTATCCCAATGAACTTATTAACACTAAGATACAAAAGCCTGAATTACCTGCTTAAAAAAAAAGTTGAATTGAATTGTGCACCTCCCTTCCAAAATCTGTGCAAGCAGACCGCTGTTTGTAAAATTGAGACTCCAAAAGTATACAGATCCTCAGGTCTTATGAAAATTCTGTAACTCTTGTAGCCAATGCTCTTCTCGTGTCAGAAGCCTTCTTTTCGGTCAAATTCTCTTCTGTCATAGCATCCTTATAAAACTGAGAACCTTGATCATATAAAGAATAGTCTTCTACATCAATCAACGCAGAATCATCCTCCCTCATTAGCAAAACATTATGAAGAATCGAACATGCCCCGATAAAAGCAACAGCAGTCTTAAACTCCTCTTCAATTGGTTTATTCAAAACACCCCAATTCTTCAAACTAGCTATGGTTCTAAGTGCAAAAACATGCATTAAATTATTTGCAGCATTGAATTTTTCTTCAGATGATCCTGGCACAACATCAACAAATGGAACCATTAACCATGGAAGCAGAGGATATCCTCCATCTGCAATTAGGTACTGATCAATAGCCACCCCATTGACAATAACCGGAGTCGCATTCAATAGCCTCCGTCCTTCAATATCATGACATAAAGTCGTCGACTTCAGTATCCTGGATTCATTCTTGTCGCCACGAAAACCTGCAATAATACTCAAAATTCTTGAAGATGAATCAACAACAATTTGAACAGCAATGCTGTCATCTTGAACCTCGTCGTCTGATGCTAATTTGCAATCATTTCTTTTAACAACATTGAATCTTGTACAGTCTATCACACCGCAACAATTTGGCAATCCGGTAAGACCCTCGATATCTTTTGACACCAATTCAAGCTCGGTAGAAGTCGGGAATGCGATCCAAAAGCGAAAATTGGTGCATAAAACACGACACAATTGCTTCGCACAGAACCGAGTCACTGACTCAGTAACCCCAAATCTCCCAGCGATTTCAATGTAACTTGACCCAGTAGCCAATCTAAACAAACCGATGCCAAGCCTGAGCTCGGATGAGAGATTTATTGGTGTTCCAATAGGGTCACGACACTCTAGTAACGGTTCAAGCAAGCCAGACAACCATTCAAACGTTGAAGATCTCATCCTGAAGGTGGTTTTGAAAGAGTCAGGATTTGGAGCAACTCGGCTCAACTCACCGAGTCTAGATCCGCGTTCGACGTCTCTGTCTTCATGGGTCGGCTCAGAACCCGCTTCTCGTAATTGGGTTCTCTTCCGTTTCTTGGAGATCGGGAAGAGGGAGAGTGAAGTGGCGTGTTCTTGGCAGGAAAGATAATGGCGAATGATACGGAAAAGGATTCCATGGGAATTGGAGTTGTAGGAATCGGAAGGGAAAAGGAGGAGGACCAGGACTAGGAGTTCAGAGACAAGAGAAGAAAGCAAAGCAGCCAATTTTTTCGATTCCATATTTTCCAAGATTGACTGTCGGGGGAATTGGATTTTCTCGGGAACCGAAATGTGTCAGAGTATGTCTTCTGGGTAGAATCTTGGAAACTGCCGAAATAGAGAGTTACACCTGTCCATAGTAAAATTGCTATGAACTTACTTTACGAAACGTGCCTTTATTGGAAAATTTCTGTCTTTTGTCAAAGGTTTTGAAGGTCTGTAACTGCACGTACCAACCCCCAAAAGTCTTTAATTTTTTCATCTACTTCAAACCGGTCAGATTATAGGAACAACTTGGACATTGATTTAAAATCTTCACTGGATAAAAAAATAAATAAAGTATATTTGTTAATTATATTTTATAAAATAAAAATTTTCCCTGCTTAATGAAAAATCTCAAATACAAAATGAAAATCACTCAAGCCTCTACTTGTCATACATGCATAAAAAATAAAAAAATAAAAACAATATTTCTTAAATATTTTAAAAATCTCTATTTAGAATTTTAGCCAAGTCCCCTGTTCATCTTAAGCTAGCTTTGAAACTAGTCAAGGGATCATGTCCCTGATTATTAAATTTAACCTTGGTTAATTTAAAAAAAATTAAAAAATATTTCAGATTTTAACATTATACATGGAAAAATTAAAATACAATCCACATGTATATATAGATATTCCACATTGAAAAATTAAAAAATATCTCATATGAATATAAGTTTCACACATCAAAAGATTAAAAAATAATTTATGTGAATATATATTATATATACAGTATTCTCACATCAAAAGGTTAGAAAATATTATATTTAGACGTGGATTATATAAAAAAATACATGTGAGCCTAAATTTTCAAAACTTAATTATATATTTCACTTGGCAAGTTGTTTGAGTTATACCAACTCAAGTTTTATGTATTTAACATTTAGACAAGGCCTTGAGTCAGCTCATTGATTTAGTACTAGTTTTATAACAATGTTTTTTTTTTTGTTACAAACAAAAGTGAGGATATGCATATTATATTTTTTTTTTACAGGCATGTACATATACATTCATGTTTTATATACAACATTAAATTTAAGATGTGTTATTTGCCCATAAAATTTAATTTTCATTGGGCTTATACAAGAGAAGAATCCAATTTTTCTTGAGTTCAGTTACATTTTAGATCTCAATTTTTTTATACTCATTACGTGTATAAAAGCCATTTAATAAGGTATCATATTTCTATTAATATTAATGTTATGTAAGATATAGTGTGTAAACTTTTTTTTAAGGGCCCACTATTTTTCTATCCATATTAATATATATTGTCACGCGTATGTGGCGTCGCGATGATCATTCACAACTCATATGTGTCGTCTATCTAGGCAAATATGGGAAGATAAGAAATTATTGTTTTTTATCATTAGAAAATTTAAATGGAAATCGTCACCTAGTATTTTGGTCACTAAGTACCCTAATTGGTCCCAAATATCAGTTATGGAGACTAATTACGTAAAAGGAAGGTATTGGTACCTCAACCATGCCCTATATAAAGTAAGTTGTATTGTTTTATTTTCTAATAAAATCTAAGGTTGTGGTTACATTTTCTAATTGTTGGTCTGCTAAAGTTTAAGAAAACTCCTCATCTGTAAGAAAATCTTTATCTTATCAGGTAAAACCCTAACTATTATAAGTCATCAAAATAAATATATTTTTAATATCAGGAATATATTTTACATATAAATTCATAATCCCTAATACTAAAACAAAACAATTGTTTTTAGAATTTTGACCAATATTCACTTGACTTTAATAAATTTGTTATTAAAGCTAAAATACATGCTAAAACATTGTTTTTTTATGTATGAAAAACACAATATGATTTTTTTTAGCTTTGAGACACTAGGCCGTATACACAAAAATATGTTTTTCTATGTTTAGTTTTTTTTTTGTATTTTTGAAAGTTTTGACGAATACCAGGTATTTTAATATTGAATTTGTATTTTTACGACGTAAAATATAGACTTATATTAAGAAAAAAAAAGAGACATCAATTAAAAAGTGGAGAAATCACAAATATTAAAAAAATCAAAACTGGCTAGACTCGACCTAAATGCATGGGCTAGGCGGGGTAGATGAACTTAGCCCAACCCGTGTGAATAGTGCTTTTCCACTATTCACATGCTACGTGAACAATGGAGGTGTGGCAAGGACGACGACAATAGCAAAGAAGAATAACATGTTGTGGCATCGAGGCGGTGTTGCTGATGATGGTGGTTGTAACGACGCTGCTAGTGGTGGTCGGCGATACGTGGTGCTTCTTCCTCCTTCTCCTTTCTTTTTTCCTTCTCTTTTCTCTCTTCTCTCTTTGTTTTCTCCTCTATCTACTCTCTTTTTTCCTTTAATCTTTCCCTTTTATTTTGCCTTCTTCTTTTGCTCTCTTTTCCCCTGTTTTTATAAACAAAAAATAAGAGAGATAGAGGTCAAGGTGGTCATTATATTGATACCCCTCCATCACCACTTCAACATGTGAAAATCTTTGGGCAAGGGGGATGGTTTCAGTGTCTTTTTGAAAAGGAGTTGACATTTTTTTAAAGGGGAAGATGATGGAAAATAGGGGAACAAAACTTTCTTATCCTCCTGTTTTCTGTGTGTCGACAGAAAGAAGAAAGGCTATAATGTCATTCCAAACGACACTGTTTTGAGATTCTTTTTATTTGTTTTTTTAATAATATATGAAACGACATCATTTTAGACAAAACACGCCATTTTATTTAAATGAAAACGACATCAAACTTATGTCAAAGTTTAAATCAGTTTTCAATTTATAATTTATTCAATCAAGTCCTAAATTATAATTTTTATTTAAAAATCGATGCAATTGCATTCGTGTCTAAAATCAAACAGCAACCCTAAAGTTGGCCATTCTTTTGAATTTAGTCTTTGATTTTGACTTTATGCAATTTGATTCTCAATTGATCAATTAACTTCTAATTTCTTTAATTTGGTTTTTGTTGTGGTTTAATTACAGCCCTTCTATTTATGCGTGTTTTTTATTTTGATCTTTGGTTTTAGATTTCTTCAATTAACCCTCTAATTGGCTATCAAACTTCAATATTTATACAATTAAACCCCTGATTTGATCTAATTAATTCTCAAAAAGTATAATTTGGCTATAGAACTTTAATTTCTTTCAATTAAAGCCCAAATTAACTTCAAAATCAATTTTTCTTGCAATCAAACTTCTTATAAATTCAATTAAACTTTTAATAAAATTTAATTGAGTCCATAAATATCTGATTTTGAACTTTACTTCCTTAAATTGAATTTTCTTTATTTATAAGACTTTCATTAGTCAACAAAATATTATCAAATTTAAATTGATGTATTTTTAAATCTCCTCAACTAATTTTAACCATTTTTAGGGTGCTTTTATAGCCTTTTTTTTCACTATTTTTATTTTTTTATGATTTTTTTATTTTTCGTATATTTTTTAAGAGAGAAAAAAATATAAATTGAGGAATTACCTAAAAATGAGTTAGGATACATATGTTAAAAATATTTTTTCTTTTTAATATACAAGTTAGAGATATATGTTATTTCTTTAATATTATCAGAATAATATTGCATTTTAGTTTCTACTCTTTTGTGATTGATAAATAAATCTTAACTTTTTAAATAAAAGATTTGAAATCTCCATTCTCTTTAATATTGTAAAATAAAATTTATTTCCTCCAATTAATACATAAGATTTTTGAGATTTGAATTGAAAATCTCATTAAAATTGACCCTTTATAATTACATTAACCTACATATGCATAACCGATAAGAAACTTCAACAGAAACATAAGATCCGTGGACGAGAAAATGACATGCGAGCGTGCCCTTACCATTTGTTTTCCTTTTCTCTTTTTTAAGAATCGCATACCAATTTTGTGAACTTGCTTGGAAGTATTAGGGCATACTAATAAAGCCCAATAGGCCCATACTGTCAGATGACTGGAGGACCAATCTACTGCCATATCCATCAGCTTCGCCCACATATTTGAGCTATTGAACCAAAGCCCAATAGGCCCATACTCTCGCATGAGGCTACTGTAAAAAACAGAGAGTGATGAGAATTGGGTCAAGTGTGGTTCTGCTCCGCAACTATCTGTGGCACAATAATACCTTGTTTGGTAACGCAGCTGCCATGTTTTTGTCAATTTTTTTTCTTTTACTTAAAATTATATTTTTAGATTTTTCTAAAATAGTAATGTTAAAAATAAAACTTAAAATATTTAATATAATGTGTTTTCAGGCAAAAACACCATAAAAAAACAACCACCACTGTAATAATACACAGTAGTGTTTTTTCAACTATTTTTTTGGGAAAAGAAACAAGAATTTGATAGACCTAAATGCCAAATAAATAGCGTGAAGAAACGAATCCTTTGTGTCACAAGGAATAGTGGTAGAAGCAAATAAGAGAACCAACTTTTGCTCCTCTCTTTATCTCAAACCCTAAGTTTCTCTTCCATCTACAATACCAAAGAGTAATGGCGTTTGTTGAGGTTAGTCCTGCTTCTCCATCATCACCATTTTAATACAAACTATTAAACTCTGACGCACCCAACTCCCACTGAGGTCTCCTGTGGAAGAAAGCCAGATACTGCAGAATTAGTCGGAGTTCAGTGAGCTTCGGGATTCCTAATAAAACCAGATGCTGCAGAATCTCATCCCGGACCAGGTAGGTCCATAAAAAACTTCGCCGTAAACCGAGACCGGGCCGGAGCATGACCTCGCCAAGTTGCAGTCTCATGTTAGCATCATCACCCCAGTAGATGAAGAAGAGCATCCATCAAACGTAATAATCTAAAGGTCAGATAGAAGAGTCTCTCATTCATTTTACCAAACCTGGCCAAACAATGCCTACAAAATACAAACTCCAAAATCATCCCCATTCTCAGAGTGACGTGTCTTCTTGTCTTTGGCCATTCCCAAATTCCTCTATCATTCATTTTCAAAATCCAGTTTCCTTGCCCACATAGAATCTAAAAAAAAAACAAGTTGGAGGGAGGGGCCGGTCGGGCGGTCTCGTGGGAATGCAGGAAGAGCCCGTGGGTATTTTTTTTAAATATATATTTTTTCAAAATAAAAATATTTTTTTTATTTTTTAAATTTATT